TGGAACATACCATCTATTTCTGTTATCATTAAAGCAGCTGGGGATTTTTGGTAGACCTGTTCTTTATTCCTTTAGTGCCAGTAATTTCCCATTCAGGAACAGTGGATTAGAACATGAAGTACATCTCTTTAATCATTAGGGGGAAAAAAATAAACATTTTTTTCATGGTGGAAAGCATGAGCAGCATATGCGGATGTTAGGTTCTTTTTACACATGGTTCAGATCTTCTTTGATTTGTTGCATAAAACAATGGAGCTAACTATCTTCTATTATATTTCCTTCCCCACCCTTCATGTTTCAGTTTTGCTGGCAGGATGTTCTCTCCTCAAGAGCCTATGTATATTAAACTATTATGGAAGTCAAGAGATTTTCATAAAAAGAAAGCATTAAGGAATAATGGTCTGTATGTTGCTTTCTTAATCCTTATTCAAAAGACCCTGGATTTTGATTTTAAGCTTTCCTAGTAGCAACCAATGTTCCAATCAAAAATAAATTATACCTTGTAGAGATATACCCTGGTAAAAATGTTCACTTGAAAAGCATTTCTCATGCATACATATACAAGTGCATGCGTGTATGTATGCACATACTGTTTCATGCACAGTTTAGTACATTTGGTTAATTCTTTTAAAATATTGTAAAGGTTTATAGATCCACACTTCCCTGGCTCTTTGCCAGATTGTGGTAAGTAGCAGGATTCTTTTCTACTGAAAGCTATAAACATATATTTAACATCACTGGCCCAGTGCAAAGACCACAGTGCTTTCACAAGGACAAATAATAACATAAAAGGGTAACAGTTGGAGAGAGGATGTTGCCATTTTTATTTAATTTTAGGTCAATAATTAATCTTAGTTCTGAAATATTTGGCTTAGTTGTTTCTATTTAACAGAAATTACTTAGTACTTGCGGTTACCTTCAAGGTATGTTTATAATTACCTAAAGTCCATTTTGCTCTTACAATGTTGTGGATAACCAAATATTGGTCCTTGCTCACAATATTTAAATCAGTGGTTAAGTTGGCATAGGTCCAGATTTTTTCAAATATAAGTGTACACTAATTTCCTCCAGCCAAAAAGGTGGACTGATTTATAAAACCATGACTACAAGTGAAAAACACCACCACCAAACCAACAACTTAATTCCTTAAGTCCCACAGATTTTCACTTCTTTTTCAATAAAATTTTTTCAAAACAATATTCTGGGCAAAACAATGATCTCTGCAAACATATTTCCTATGTAAGAAACCAAACTTTTCAGCAAAACTTTCTGGAACCTGACAATACCCATAAGCACTTCTTAGATCTGAAATCAGGACCCATTCATTATTTGGATTACATCTGCACAGTAACTGTTCTGCTTTGAATATCCCAAGGAAGGCAGTGATCCAGCAGCAGTTCTCAATCCCACCCCACTCACCCCCCAAGTACACTCCCCTGCAATGCCCAAGTTCCACTCCACTTCTCCAACAGACCAGCAGGCAGGGAAAACAACTCATGGGAGATTGAAACCTCCCACTTTCACTCATGCAAATTCACCACCAGGGCATTTAATACACAAAACTCTCAATTAAAAGCTGTTCATGCTGATATAACATGCAGCACACAAACACGATCTTCCCAACAGCACCATCTTCTGCCATCAGCCTCAATTTCCTCTCCAACTGTCTAAAGACAGTTGTTGGTATGATGGACAGATTTCTTTGACAGAATCTAGGTAGCACTGGGAAAAAGTGAGGGCAGTTGGAATCGCATCTTTCCCAGTGCATTGGTAACTTGCTTCTTTTAACCCTTTCTTTCTTTAGACTTTTGAACCAGCCCAATTCCTTAGGGTATTAGAGAAGAAAAAATTACACACACCCCAATCCCTTAGTGTATGCTGTTCTCTTGTGGGACCCAAGGGAAAGGGAACTGATGGGGTTCAGAACTGCCTGGAAAGCTTCTTCTGTTGTTGTTCTGTTTTGGGCTTCTTGTTCACTGGTCTCCAAAATGGGGTTTGACGGATTATTCCAGGGGTCAAGGAAAGTCACTCTGCATATGCTTAAAGACACACCCTTTATTATTATTCCGAATGATGTCCTGCAGTTGAGAAAAGGTTCTTCCTTGTACCTCTGATAAACCTCTATTTTTGTTAACCAATCTTAAAGTAGCTAAATGCAAGGTGTATTTATACATATGCATACATACATGCACAGAGAGAGAGAGAGAGAGAGACCCCTCCCTCTCTCCCTTTGCCTTTGGAACAGCCTGCACTACCTACTAAATATTCACACAAACTAAACAAGGAATTTCCTTTCCCACTTTGTGATTGTTGCTTTCTCTGACATCTCCTTCTTTCGTAGTTTTTCTTACAACTGTTTTCCTTCCCCAACCCCTTTACCTGAGCACGGAATACTCTCTTCTCTGCTCCTCGTTTCCATTCTTTGTCCAATGGAAGGAGTTCCCCATCACCTTCAACCACACCTCCTTCCACTGTTCTCCTCTCCCTCCTCCTACGTTACCCTTCCCACCATTCGGAGGGATCCTGGGGCCGCTGAGCCGCCCAGATAACTCCTCTGCCTCCAAGCCCGGCTTTGCGAAGCCCTCAGCTATGGGACTTTGGGGGTGGCGGTGGTATGGAGATGCGAAGGAAACATGCGCCCCGCCCCACATGTACACTTTCCAAGGAAGCGAATAAGCCAACATGTGGCCCAATTGCCCAATTAATTCTCCCTTCAGCGGAGTTTGCAGAGCGTGTGCGTATGTGCGCGCGGCAACAGTAGCTTAGTCGCGCGACCCCCTTTTGCTCCAGCGACAGGAGCCGAAGGAAGGGCGGGCGGTAGCAAGAGCCTAGCACGCGCGAGAGCTGACGGGCTCTGAGCGACCAGTCACTCCCTTCCCAGACACATCCACTAATACCCCACCTCGATTCCCTTTTCCTCGGCTTAGCCCATTAGTTCTCCCGAGACTGACAGCACCTCGCACGCACACACCCCGCTCCCCTAGGTAGAGGGTAGAGTAGCTCCGAGCTTGCGCCAACCCCAGTCTCCTGCCTTGCAAACAAAGCCAGAGGCGGGCGGCGGCAGCGCCAATCGACACCAGCACCCCAGAGACCAGGGTGGGCACTAAGCAGAGCGTCAAAGGAGGCGGAGAGGCGTTGGCTGAGAGAGGAAGAGGGGGCGACTGAGCCCCAAGTTCCCCGCCTTCACGAAAAGCAAGCCAACCTGCCCCACAGCCGCCTTCTTCTGCCACATTGTCTCGGAAACAAAGACTCCACGCCCAGCTAAGCCCCCCAAGGAAGCCTCGTGTCAAGGGATGGGCAGCGCCGGCCAGGAACGCGACGGCTGCGCTCCCCACCGGGAGCGCATTATGCGCGCCTGCCGCTGCTTCCGCGGAGCAACCGCCCCCTCCGCAGCGCCCGGGCGGACAGCGGGGCAAAGTGGCCCAAGCTGCAAAAATAGAAGGACTTCGGCAGCGGGGAAGGGAGAACGATCCCGGAGGAGCACTTCCTCGGCGCTCGCGGCACATGCAAAGAAGAGCGTGGCAGCCGTTCTCTTCCCCACCCCACCGGCAAAAATAATTCTAAAAAGGGAGCAGCGCACGCAGGACCGGTGGGAAAGTGGCGTCGACATAAAGCCGCCGCAAGCCTCGCCTTCCTGGGAACGCCGCCGCCGCCACTTGCTCCTCATTCTGCTGCAGCCTTGCAGGACTTCGCAAAGCTCCTCGCCTCGCCGCGCAACCTTTCCCGACTCCCGAACAATGCCCCGCGCGGATCCAGGCGCGCAGACAAACGGTGCGGAAGAGTTCACATACCTCGTCGGTGTACGTATTTGGAGGCTTAAGAAGGCAAGACTAGCTGATGGAGCGTCCCATTTAGTAATCCAGTTAAGGGGATCGCTCAGCGAAACTCGATCCACTCTCGCCTTTGCAATCCTTTGTCATTATTACGTGGGGGATTCTTGGGGAAACGGAGAGGGGGAGAGAGGCTTAGTACGCGGACTAGTTTGGGGAACGCAAACGCGGTGTGTTCATCTCTACTGAAGGGGGGGAGGGGGGAAGGGTAGGCGTGGGGAGAAGATACAGGCTCTTCGATTACTCCTCGTCCAAATGCCACTCTGATTTCCACTCCAGTAAGTCCCCTTCCGACCGAACGGGGAAGTCCTTTCGTTGTCTTATTCTGCCCTTCCCCAAAAGTGTTCCTGGCTGGCGAGATTGGTTTGTGGAAACTCCTCCAAGGGAAGCAGCCTCGCTCGTGCGCCGGCAGGAAAGCGCGCTTTTCCCAAGCTCTCCTGGTCATTGAAATGTGTTTGGGGATGACTTCGGAGCAGCGCCTCTCTCTCCCCCTCTCTTTCGATCTCCCCTGCCCTGCCTCTTCTCACGCCAGACTCCGTCCCAACACTTTCTGTCACTGGAAAGCAGCTTGGCTGGAGGTGGAGTCAAATCCCGGGATGGATTCCGTGGAAACGGACCGGCCCAGTAATTATTTCCACCTACACCCACTTCTGCGCATGAATGAGTGTATGCCGATTGGGCGACAGAGAGGGTTAGTTGTGATGTGTGGGTGGGAGGTATGTGTGAGGTGTGGGCACTGTCAGATCTCTTTCAGAATTAGTTCACCACCACCGCTGCCGCACACACACAAACACAGTCAAAAGGGTAATAAATTGGTACCTTTCTATCCCACGCTCTTGGGATAAGTTTCTGTTTAACTGAAAAAAAATCTGGGCTTTTAAAGAAAGGAATAATGCTTAAATTAAAAAAAAAAGAGTTTGAATAAAAAAACATGGAAACGTTTCCAAAAAAGCATACTGTACCGAAGCTTGAGGAAATCATCCAAAAGAACAAGAAAGCGGAGAGGCACGTGTAAAAGCAATGACGATCACATCGTAATTATTTAAGTCAAACAGTAAACTAAAGCCTTTGCAATATTATACATATACATATACATATATATATATCGGATCCCACGCACGCACGCACGCACATGAACTGGTATTTCCTTGACTGCCGTGAATAACTTACCAATAAGGGCGTGCAAGACCTCACGACATAAAGATCTCCTCTGGAATAATAGTGTGGCTGACCATTTCGCCTTCACCCCGATCAAAAGCTTCTGAGCTTAGAAGCATCCCCGGGACATCCGTGCGTGTGTGCGCGCGCGCACTGTTGAAATACGTACAAGAGAAATAAAATGCACAGCCATTGTTCTTAAAAACATCTATTGACAAGGCAGCAGCACTGCCTGTCCTAAATAATCTTAGAAAACTGGTCCATAGCCGTTAAAAATTAACTTTCCTTTCTTCCTTTATCTGACCGTGCCGTAGTTACTCAACTTTTTCTTGCCTGTATCAAACTTCTAGAGGCTCAGCGCGATATTGTGTCACCAAAGGAGAAAGAAACGGAGCCTAACTCATTGTGCCTGCGAAGCAGTTTGCCGATGGAAAGGCCGTCAAAAGAGGCGCGCGCCCTTCTGAAGAAATACAACGTGGGAGCCCTGCGTCTGTCCAGCGAAGGATCAGCGGACGACAGAACCCCAGCTAAAGTTGCTGAAGAAACTCGAAATACAGTGAGGAAGTCCAGCAGCTTTCTGCCGCAATCTGTTCCCGTCCCGTCAGGCTCACTCAGGCTATCAGAGATCATCAGCACGTAGCGTACTCCTCTATTTTCATCCTACGTAACCACGGTGGTTCTACCGCGGAGGGAGAGAAATAGTAATGTTTGCCTCTTGCAATTCGCCGCCTTTGCCAGAAGGGGACGCTGCGCCAGTGATGCTTCAATCAATTCGACAAAAGTTTGGCGCCTACGATGGTCCAACTCTTGACTGAAGCCTTAGTGCGACTGGGAAAACATGCTGCTCGGCTCCCAGGACGTCTTTTTCTAAGGAGCAGGATGGGCTCATCACGTAACTAGGAGCCGACGTGCCGGAGCAAGACCGTCCTTGGCTAAATGCTTGGTCTCAGCCGACCCTCCTGGCGATGCCGATCAGCGCGGGACAGGCATTGCCCTCGCAGGCAAATACCAGCTTTTGACGACATGCCAGCCCCACTGGCTATACGCAGACGATTGCGTGCATGGAGAATGCTAATCTAACGCGTCCCGAAAAGGCTATCGCGTTGCAATCTTTTCGTGGGAATCTCTGGCATATCTGTCTGAACCTTCCCATTAAGACGCCTTCCTCCCCACTCCACTCTACGTCCCTCCCCACCTTATACCCAAATCGTAGCCTAACAGCTACTGGCTGGGTTAATCCGTCCTTGCCTCGGAGCCAATCAGCCCAGCGAACAGCAGGAGCAGCAGCGGCGGTAATAAATTAATCCTTCAGCATCCCAACCCCCTCCCGCCAGGGAGACCGACTGGTTGCCGCTTATCTGAAGCTGCTCCTTCGAAAATTCGTGTCAGCGGCGCCCCTCGCGGCCAAGGAGGCTCAACGCAAGAGGAAAGAGACTACCTTGCCCTGTTTTCCATTCTTGTTTTTCCCGTTTCCTTCCAGCGTGCCCCTCACTCCGCGGCTGATTTACATGTTAATTGTGTCTGAGAAAACTTCTTTAATTGCCAGAATTAAGCAGAGCAAACGGATTGCTTCACGAGCGGAGCCAAATTAATTCCGGGTTTAGCTCCTTCCCTTAGAGAAACAAACAATTAAGCTGTCTTGTTTGCTCTCTATGGCTACATTTGCATGTCAGACACATTGACTTTTTCAGTTAGATGGGTCTCTTCTTCTTTGTCCCTTCTTCTTGTTGTAATTTGAATCTCACCTTCCTGTCATTGTTCACAGAGGCATCCGGGTGAACTGAGGAGCCTGCCAAGTTTAAACATACAGACCCATCAGTAG